AAAAATAAATGCTTATAAATGATTCTGCAATGTTCCGTGTTTAAAAATAGATTAAATGGACAGAACATGAAACAAATTATATAATGGTAACACAATAATAAGCATTTGTTTTATTTTCGCTTTGTGCATTGTGCGAGAGATAGTAGTGACGCCAAGAATTTTACGACCCTGTTTTGCTTGATTAACTTAATGCCAAAATCTTTATACAAAAAAAGTTTCAATAATTTTTTGTGATAGAAAACTTACTTGCAAGTAGATTTTCTGCGAACTTATACAAAAAAAAATAAATTTAATTGCTGACTTTTATATTTATCATTAAAATGTATTTTAATTGAAAATGATATTTATAAAAGTTTATGAAACATATATTTTTAAAATTGTATGAATTTATTATTGGTTTTGCAAGAAAGTAATAAAATCGTTTTTTTTTAGTATAAAATAAGATTTATTTTTGTATACAAATAATGAACCTTAACCAATTATATATTTTTTATTTTGCCTGATGACCATTTGCCATCTTTCTGGCAACTTCATGATTCTGCGCATATTAAAATTCATTTTTAATTTATTAATCTTAAGATGCAAGATCAGGGATTTGGGGTATGCGACATAAATTGCCTACCAAGATCTTATGAATGAAGATTATTTATGAATTACCAAAGTTGTGTGAGTTCTTGCATTGTCTTGGTGGAACATGATTCCTTTGCGATTTGTACGGTTTTCTTTGATTGCTTCCTTTGATTTCATTAGTTGTTGACAGTAGATATCTGAATTGATCGTTTGGTTTCTTGGAAGCGGCTCAAAATACACAACATCTTTGCAATCTCATCAAATTAATAACACGGTCTTTTTTATGCAATTCAACTTTCGATGTAGTATGATCCATGGTACTTTTTGATTGATGTTATTGTGTCGATTCATTTTTATCAAAACAACATAAATCTTAATAATAGTATTGAAGAAATTGATTTAACGAGCGTAAACTCTGTTAATTTCGTGAAAAGAGTAATAACGTAGTAATAGGTTCTTGAATTGAAGAATGTTATAATGAAAATGGTTCTTAAAATTACGAAATTAGCCGTTTTTTTTTAATATTTTCATAACAACTTATTTTTATCTTTCTGCTATTACAATATTGTAATATTTCTCATATAATTTCCAAATTTCTAACTTCAAAAAATCAGTTTTGTACACAACTCATGTCATGATGAAATTCTCAGAAATCTTATAACCTTATTTACATATATGCATGCATGATAAACAAAATCAATCTGATTGTATGATATATAATTATGCGAATGCAATAGTACTTTATGAAATAAAATACATAAATTAATGAACAATGTCTAATTCCTAATATTTGAGGTTTCTTGCCACTATTCCTATAATTATCAATTCCTGGATTCGAGTTTGTCGTATCTAGAAATTATCAAAGATCCTAAACCAGTGGTTGCAAACTTTTTTTTCTACAAGAGGGTCGTTGAATAAATAAAAATATTTTCAATCGAACCCAAAAATACACAAGTAGCATACATTAATCTTAAATCATAGTGTTTTGATATATTTCATTGATTTTTTGTTTATAAATTATAATAATTTCTAAATCTCCTTTTAATTGATTCAAGTGGTCTATATAGATTTGTTTTTTTTTTAATTAAAAATTATTTTCATTTAAAGCGGATATAAATAAATCAATTTTAGAAAAAGTCAAATAACAAGATTTACATATTTTTTTATTCTATCAATTTTGTTGCTATAAGTTTATCAATTTCCAAAAGTAACTAACAAACTTGGATAATTTAAAAAAAAAAATGATCTTATATTTATATATAATAAAACTATTATTATAATTAATCAAATTTAAAAACGTATATATTTTTCAGGTCCTTGAATTCTATAGACCCTTTCAAAACTCCATAAACCCACAAGGGGTCCACCTGGACCCAGTTGAGAATTTCTGTTCTAAACAATAATGATTAATTTGTTAAATAATATTTACGATTACTAAAAATATTTAAAAAGAAATATGTAATTAATAATTCAGTTAAAAATATTATGCAGTTATTTAACACCTCACTCAATAAGTTCGTAGGATGTCCATTAAAACAACAACTTTTGGGCAATATTCGACTTTATTCATGAACATAGTCTCCTTCAAGAGTGACACATTCATACCAATGCTTCTCTAATATTTCGATACCTTTCTTGTAGAATGATTTATCTATGGTCTCAGAATACAGCTTTCACACTTTGCTGTCTACTCAGCTCAAGGCCGATTTAACTCTTGAGTGTAGTGGTGGATTCAGGTTTCATCCATTGTTACATACCTCATGAAAAAATCCTTTTTATTTCGCTTGAACAGCTTCAAACAGGGCTCGGAATCATCAGCTCGTTGTTGTTTTTGGTCCACTTTGAGCTTGTCCACTGGTGAATACACTGCCTTCTGATATCTTCACGGTGTCAACTATCAATATGAATTTACGATCGGCCAAAACCATTTTATAGACATTTTTTATACTTAATAATATATATTTTGATAGAAGTATTGATGATATTAATTTATTCTATTTTTGTGTCGTAATAATGATTAAGATAATGTTAAATGTACAGTAATACCTTTTGCGGCTTTGGTCAACCTGGAATCACAAAAGTCCGATTTGATAATTTAAAAACAAACAAAATTAATTGAGCAAAATAAAAGCAAGGCATTGTAAGTACAACACGATAACGGAGGAAATAAGGAGGGAAAAGGACATACAAAAAAAGATAAGAATGATGGACCATTTACAAAGTTCCATTTCCTAAAACAAAAAACCAACAAGTTCACTCACAATTGCAAACAGTCAGGGAATTTTCTTACACTATGCAAGGTTTTTCTGTATATGGTTTTACGTATGAGTTAAATTTAAAAAAAAATGGAATTTCTTATAGGAATTTTAGAATAACAATAAAAATAGCTGCTTTTCATATGTCTCAGATTACTTTAAAAAAATATGTATTGTCTATTAAATAAATAACTTTTGCTAATAATATATACATTTAATCCAAATTAGGATCAAGAAATATGTTTAAATAATAAAAAAAAATATGCTATATATATATAATATTTAAAAACTTATTAGTTTTAAGCAAAACCTGATAATAACCGCAGATATTAGTATAAAAATCGTAACATTTATGTAATCTCGATGTTTATACTTTTCTATTTTTGGGTTGTACAAAAATCGTAATGGAATTGTTTTATAAAGTCTCAGATTACCCCGAAAATATCAAGTATTGTTTACAAAGAACTTTTGTTAAAGATTTATAATCTGTTAATAGTTTATTTAACTTATATGTAAATAAAATTTGATTTTTTTTGTCATATTTGGAAATGTTTTCAAATTTTGTGAAATCATTTTTTTTGAGGTGGGAAATCCAAGAATGATTATGTAATGCTAGAAGAATGTGCGTTGCACTCTATTCTTTAAATAGATTGGAAGCCTTGGTTGGATAAAAAAAATGGAAACGAGAACTAAATTGGTTGTAGAATTTAATGAAAAACAATATTCAATTTCAAGATTGTTTAAACAATTGGTTTAGATGGATTTTGTTGGGTATTCTGTTGCAAAATGTTATGCAATGTGCAAAAGATGAAGTGGAAGATATGATTTGCGAGTGAAAGTGAGTTGAATGGATGGACGCTTCACGGGTCCTGGATGGAAACTGAGCCGGTGGGTGAACGGACGGCGCCGTTTTATATCCTGGTGCGACCAAGAAAGTTTCGAAAGAAAAGTGAAGCAAGGAAGAAAAATAAAAGGAAATATTTTTTTTCTTTTTTCGAAAAGTTGTAAAGTTGAAAGCTGGAACGGTGCGTGCACCGTTCGACTGTCCCGCGACAATTCAAGCCGTCGGACGGACTCGCCCTCACGATATATATTTCTAGCCTTTAGCCTGGTCAGCCCCGACTCCCCGTGCCTAAAAAGGTAGACTGACCAGGATCTAACGGCGTTCCCAATTGGCCGAAAACGGCGAGCCAATCGACGGGCTCGTTACATCCCAGGATCTGGTTGCAGACATTTATAAACCGCCGCTCCAGCCCTGATTCGACCAGAAGGCTTTCGAACGTAAGTGAACACACATACATACCGTGGTTGTCCTCCACCTCTTGTACTCACTCTCGCCTCAAACACTGTTCTTCCAATCATTATTACAACTTCTACATTACTACAAATCCAAAGTATAACAAAAAAAAAATTAACCTATTCTCTACATCTTTAACATTTTTCTTTGTTTCTAATAATTTTTTTCAATGTTAACTCTGTGCTCGGATTAAAGTGAAAATAAATAGTGCAAAATAAGTGAATTGTGCAAGAAGATCCGCTTTGGGGAAAAGTATTACGAGAGAAAAGTTCAACTTCAACTACTTCGAGAAAAAAATAGTTTTGATTTTTTCATTTTTTTTTTAAATTATTATCTTCATTGAAATAAGTGACCTAAATGTAAAACTAGAATCAATTGGTAGTTCATTCAAATATTATTTTATTAGTATTTTGAAATCTAAATTGCATTCGGTAGAGTGAATATTCGGGGAAAAATTTAAAATTTGAATCGCGTGTGCTCTGGGATTGCATAATCGGACGCGTCCGCCATTTTGTCGCACGCGCACGGGGGGTACCTTAAATGGCGCTCCATGATATAATCGGGTACATCTATTCTCGGCCACGCGCCAATTATAGAAATCCCATCGAGGAAATCCTGGCAACATTTTATTCGATTCTTTATTTTTTTATTTTCATTTCGAGTTACTTCATTTTCTACGCGCCGCATAGTTTCATCCTGTTTGTGTTTTTTTTCTTATCTGTATTCGATCCGATTTCAATTTCGCTCCCGGAATCCGATCCGGGAATTTCTGGCGCAAACATCGGGCGATCACACGATATAGCCTATTTATAGTTACACTTTGGTATACATTCCGCGAGCCTAAATTTAGACCTTAGTCTCGTTTCCATTTCGTACTCGTGTGTGCGCGTAATTTATTTTCGTTTTGACTTCTTCTGCTTCTACTCATCTGCTCTTCCTCGCAGCATCTTCTTCAGCGTGTGTTGACACGTGTTGAGATTGTGCGCATGTAAACACCGGGAACTAATCGAAGTTTACCTTTTCGTAATTTGCAGGAAGGCTCTAGGGCTGTTTTTTTACGTGTCTCGATAGCCCCAACTTAGTCCACTTTCAACATGCCGAAACCTGTCAAACAAGAGGGTGATGACCCCGACCCAACCCCATTCTTGTTTGTCTCACTGGAACAGAAGCGTATCGACCAGACCAAGCCCTACGATGCCAAGAAATCTTGCTGGGTTCCATGTGAGAAGGATGGTTTCGTCCTTGGTGAAATCAAGGGAACCAAGGGTGACCTCGTCACCGTCGGCGTTGGACCAGGAGAGGTAAAACTAAACGTCAAGATAGAATATGACACCTGTCATCCGTCATAAGTCAACAACATTCGATAGTACATTGATGATGATAATTGGACATCGCCAATTGCGAAATTGATACAGCTGTGTGCCACGTAACCGACGGCTAAAAATAGGCAGCTCGGTTCCGGCCTCAAGATCCAAATTTTAACATCATATATAATTTAAAAATTTCCATATATTACGATACTTTAATTTTCAATATTTACAACAGGATATATGGACTTAGGTCTTGATGCCTTTCGAAAAAAAAAAAAAAATAAATATTAATTTTCTAACATTAGCTGAAAGTTACATTTAAATGCAGACCCGCCTTCGGATGTGCCCTCTGCATTGTGGAGGGCGCGTTCGAGACTGCGTCTCTTTGTAAATACGTGAAATCCGAAATGAGCTGTGTTTCTTGACGAGTAGGAAAAGCATTTGAAAAAGGATCAGGTGTTCCAAGTGAACCCGCCTAAGTTCGAGAAGGTCGAGGATATGGCCGACCTGACCTTCCTTAATGAGGCAGCTGTGCTCCATAATCTGCGGCAGCGATACTACTGCAAACTGATCTATGTAAGTTTCAAAGACCGAAACCCACTAATGTCGTTTTTCTTCCCCGCGAACAGGAAAAGAACTTCAAGAAGGAACTAGTTGCTCAGGTCAACCCTCCCAAATACGAAAAAGCCGAAGATATGTCCAACTTGACATATCTCAACGACGCTTCAGTTTTGCACAACTTGAAGCAGAGATATTACCATAAACTTATCTACGTAAGTCCTCCGCACCAAAGTTTTGGATGGTTGGAGAGACCACGAGACGGATGGTCTCTTATTTTTGTTGTTCTTCTCATTTTGTTGTTACTCTTAACGCCAGAATCACCAATACTCGATGACTGTATTTGGGGGAGTTTCATCCACTAAATCAACAATACCCTTTATCCGCTCTGCTCGATGAGCAAGAAAAACCAATACCTACTACTGTATTGGCCCTACTTTATTAATACCAGTCCACTGCCCATGAGGCATTGGAACCGTTTTTTCTGTTATTTCACTATTAATCTTACCTACCTTCATGTGTGCATTTCTCTCCCCGAATTTCGAAACAAGACAAGATCTTCGGGGGGGTTGTTTTTGTTTGTTCTTGATTGAAAGTAAAATTGTCGACTTGTGCTTTAATACGATCCCCTGTTAAAATTTACAGACCTATTCTGGTCTCTTCTGCGTCGCCATCAACCCCTACAAACGTTTCCCCGTCTACACCAACCGTTGCGCTAAGTTGTACCGTGGTAAGAGGCGTAATGAAGTTCCACCCCACATCTTCGCCATTTCCGACGGCGCCTACGTCAACATGTTGACCAGTAAGTCTCAGAAGAAAATCGTCAACAGAACAGCATCCTAACTAATGTACATTTTTTCTTTTTTTTCATCAAACTCTTCTCAGATCACGAAAATCAATCTATGTTGATTACGTAAGTTAACCTCGTTACTTGCGTCCGGGGGCCTTTTATTAATTTATTCTCTCTCTGCCTACAGTGGTGAGTCTGGTGCCGGAAAGACTGAAAACACGAAGAAGGTAATTGCCTACTTCGCCACCGTCGGTGCTTCCAGCAAGAAACCAAGCGCTGAGGAGCAGAAGAAGGGTACCCTTGAAGATCAAGTCGTCCAAACTAACCCGGTACTTGAAGCTTTCGGTAACGCTAAGACCGTGCGTAATGACAACTCTTCCCGTTTCGTAAGTTATCAATAATATTATAATATGAAGAAGAAAATACTAAAACTACCGATGTTTAGGGTAAATTCATCCGTATTCATTTCGGCCCAACTGGTAAACTTGCTGGTGCTGACATCGAAACTTGTAAGTTAACTTTTCTGACTCTCAAGTAGCACTTAATTAATCACCTTTATTTTAATAATTCAGACTTGCTCGAGAAGGCTCGTGTCATCTCCCAACAAACCCTTGAGAGATCTTACCACATCTTCTACCAGATCATGTCTGGAGCCGTACCCAACCTGAAGAGTAAGTTTGTCTTAATGAATCATGTGATCTTCTATTCTTTTCATACAGGAAATATATTGAATCTGATGAAACGACAATCGACTGTATCAGAAATCAAAACTTTCAAATTCGTTTTTTTCCAAATTTAATTTTAATTTCTTACATCATCGTTTAGAAAATTGCTTGCTCTCCGACAACATCCAGGATTATCATTTCGTTGCTCAGGGCAAGACCACGATTCCAAACGTTGATGACGGTGAAGAATGTACTCTCACTGATGTAAGTGGGTGACGATGAATTGTCCCCCGAAATAGAAAAACAACAACCAATCAACCCCCACACACAAGCAGATTCGCTTTATTTTGTTTTTGAACATTAGTTCGATTATTTATTAAGAAAGGCGGGATCGAAACACCTGTGCCTGATAATTTTAGTTGTGTTTTCTTTTGATTTCCTTGTTTGCCAAGGAGACCAGTAGATTTGTTTGCGGCGAGCAGGGACGTGACTCTTTGGGCTCGGATGGAGAAAAGAAAGTTTGGATGATGGCAGCAGACTGCACACATCTCCGACTATTCTTTGTTTGTTTGTTTTTATTTATGTACATGTTGTGTTATCGAATAATTGTCGCATATAACCGACAAGAAATACGTGTTTCTAACTACCTCGTTTTGTTCTGATCCCCTCTTCCACAGAGAATTGCCTTTTATCCAACAATGTCAACGATTACTACTTTGTATCCCAAGGAAAGACTAGCATTCCTGGAGTTGATGACGGAGAGGAATGTGTGATCACCGATGTAAGCCCCTCAAATGCTAACTCACTTTCTATCCACGATCATCTTTATCTTCTTATTCTCTTATTCTATTCTACTATACTATCCTAATACTGTACTATTCGTACCCATCTTGTGTTTTGTTGTTGTTGTTGCGTTGCTAATATCAATGTCTTTTCTGTTACTAATAACAATCTCTCGTGGTGGGCGATGCCTAGTCCTTTGTCTGCTGAGCGATCGCGTCTCGGACTACCCGTTCATTAGCCACGGAAAGACACGCATTCCAGGCGTTAACGACTACCTGGAGGGTGAAGTCACAGATGTAAGAACAAAAAACACGTTCGTTCAGTGGTGCAAGCAGGGAGCAAATAGGCATCGCCCGCTCCCTGAGTGCTCCAAAGACCAAAGACTACTCAATCATCTGTAAATATTCAGAGCGACGACTACTTTATTTTAGCAGAAAATCTAACAACAAAGGCAACCTCCCAACAATCAAAATGAAAAAATATATAAACTCATGAACATTCCGCTTATCGCTGGCTAACCATTATATTTTGCTTTGCCATAGGTAAATGCTCGCTATCTGATAACATCTACGACTATAACTTTGTCTCCCAAGGAAAAGTTACCATTCCCAACGTCGATGACGCTGAGGAATTGACTCTCACAGATGTGAGTAAACTCCCCTCATACCTGTCAAAACAATTCCTTGTACAATATCAAACGAACCAAAAAAATCTACGACCCAGACAGATTTTACGCCATACAATATTAATACATTTTTTTAGATTGTTTTATTTTGTTGGTAAGTCGCACTGTACAAACTGCTTCATCTGACGCTTCGTGTGGTATTCTTCTAATTACTTTATTGTTGAGCTTCATCACACACACTATCTTCACCCTCCAAACATTATCTGCACACACGGATCTCGATTAAATCTGTATTTTCCCTTTCGACAATGTAGCAAGCCTTCGATGTACTTGGTTTCACTCAAGAAGAAAAGGATGACATTTACCGCATCACCGCCGCTGTTATGCACATGGGTTGCATGAAGTTCAAGCAGAGGGGTCGCGAAGAACAAGCTGAAGCTGATGGCACTGAGGTAAAACTCATCTGTCGATGGTTAAATGGTGGATTTGCTAAATAAAATGTTGTTCCAACCTGCAGGAAGGTGACAGGGTTGCTAAGCTTTTGGGTGTTGAGACTCAAGCCCTTTACACCGCCCTCGTCAAGCCCAGGATTAAGGTCGGCAATGAATTCGTCGTCCAAGGCCGTAATGTCAACCAAGTATCATACTCCGTTGGTGCTATGTCCAAGGCCATGTTCGACAGGGTCTTCAAGTTCTTGGTCAAGAAGTGTAACGAGACCCTCGACACCAAACAGAAGAGGCAACACTTCATTGGTGTGCTGGATATTGCTGGTTTCGAAATCTTCGACGTAAGTTGACAAATAAAAAAGACTTCAATCGAACTTGAACAGGTCATCAGGAGGAAGTTACCAAAGAATCGGATGCTGCATACTATACTTGTTACTTTTATAGGATTCTTGATTTCCCACGTATATAGGTTACGCTACGCATTCAATTTTTCACTTATTTTGGTAATAATTAGAATAACAAGTAACTTATTCATTTCTTATATTTCTAGTATAACGGCTTTGAGCAGCTTTGCATTAACTTCACTAACGAAAAGCTCCAGCAATTTTTCAACCATCACATGTTCGTGCTGGAACAGGAGGAGTACACCAGGGAGGGCATCGTTTGGGCGTTCATTGACTTCGGAATGGACTTGCTCGCTTGCATTGATCTTATCGAAAAGGTTAATTTTGGCTAAACTAAAATGGAAAGCAAACAAACAATAACTGGTTAACATATTTATATTAACGCTTGTGCAAGACGGAGAAACTAATACAGAACTGACACGACCCAGTGATTCTCGTAACGTTATGTCTATGTTTCCAACAGTACAACGGTTTTGAGCAACTTTGCATTAACTTTACCAACGAAAAGTTGCAACAGTTCTTTAACCATCACATGTTCGTACTCGAACAAGAAGAGTACGCCAGGGAAGGTATTCAATGGACCTTCATTGATTTCGGCATGGACTTGTTAGCCTGTATCGAACTTATTGAGAAGGTACGGCGGATAGGAATTGTTCGACTCTATATGGTGTTTCGTGTTTATTTTCTTCAATGTTGTACTTTACCTTTTAGCTATATGTGTCTATTTTATATCTATGTCATATCTATCTATGATGTCTTTCCTCAATGTTAGATGTACCAAAACCAAAATGCAATGAGCAACCAGCAGCCGTGCAACTCTGTTGGTCTGTGTGCGTTCGTGCGTGCAGTTATTCCACTATACACGGGCAACTGCCGCACGAAATCCTTGTGCGTTTTTAAATGTAATTTGTGTTGTTGCTTTTTGTTCCCCTATATGTAGTTCAATGGTTTCGAGCAACTTTGCATCAACTTTACGAACGAAAAGTTGCAACAATTCTTTAACCATCACATGTTCGTACTCGAACAAGAAGAGTACCAACGCGAAGGAATCGAATGGGCCTTCATCGATTTTGGCATGGATTTGTTAGCTTGTATTGAACTTATTGAGAAGGTAAATGTTTGGAAAGGAGACGAAAACCGCCAATTTACTTAACTCAATACGATTTTTATGTTTTATTTTTTTTGTGCCTATTCGTATGCTACGACCAAATCAAAAGATTTTTTTTTCATCAACGCCGCTTCTACTTCTATGTGTTCCATGTGTTTAATGCTCGCTTTAAAACAACTAATAAACACTTCCAGTACAACGACTTCAATCAACTGTGCATAAACTACTCGAACGAAAAGATGCAACAGTACTTTAACCACCACATGTTCATCTTGGAACAGGAGGAGTACGAAAGGGAGGGTATCCCTTGGACCTTCATCGATTTCGGTATGGATCTCCAACCGACTATCGATTTGATAGAGAAGGTACCATAACTACCTTCAAACAATCACCTCAAATAAATCATAGTATCTATCTCACGTTCAGAAACCACTTAATTTCGATTTTTAGGACTTGCCCCATTCAATCGAGCACTTCTGCTTTTTCTTCACTTTCTGTTTATAACAACAACAAAAAAAGTAAACGCACTTGATTCGTATTAGTTAATGCACAGTTTTTTAAAGCACCTCAGGTATTGTATGAAGCCTTACGCAGAAGCCATTCCGTGGACTCAATAGGCAGGGATTCTTCTACAATATGTATTTATTTCTCTAGCCCATGGGTATCTTGTCCATCCTTGAAGAAGAATCTATGTTCCCCAAGGCCACTGACAGGACCTTCGAGGAGAAGTTGAACAACAACCACTTGGGCAAGTCCCCCAACTTCTTGAAGCCAAAACCACCAAAGCCAGGCTGCCAAGCCGCCCACTTCGCCATCGGCCATTATGCTGGCAACGTACGTTTGAAACTTGAAATTCCACCAAAGAATCGAAAGAACTAATCCATCCATATTCCTAAAAAAAATAGGTACCATACAACATCACCGGCTGGTTGGAAAAGAACAAGGATCCGTTGAACGACACCGTCGTCGACTTGTACAAGAAGGGTACCAACAAGCTCTTGCAAGAAATCTTCTCTGACCATCCAGGTCAATCTGGTGCTCCTGGTGATGCCGGCGGCAAAGGTATATATTCAATCCAACTAAAAATGTCACTACCTTCAATCAAATCAATCTTAAAACAAATCAATTTTCAAATCATGTTCATTTACAATCAGAAAATAATATGTCTATTCCACAAAACTTAGGTGGTAAGAGAACTAAAGGTTCCGCTTTCCAAACCGTATCAAGTTTGTACAAGGTAAATACCACAGCAAAAAGCAGCGACAAGACTGTGGCTATGCAGATCCTAAAACCTAGAATCCTTTATCTCACTCAAACCTAAAAAAGATGAAAATATTTACATATCCTCTTACCTTATTGATCCTTTCGGAAAGCTGTAGAATTTGTTGAGTAGTTATTTCGATGTTGGGCTCGCTTTAAACGTATGCTTTTCTTTTTCTCCCTCAATTTAGGTGGTCGTGGTAAGAAGGGTGGTGGTTTCGCTACCGTATCTTCTTCCTACAAGGTTTGTCAGGGTTCCCCCTTTTTACAATTTTTTTATTATCATCCCTTTCAAACCACAAAAAATGTGTTTTGTTTTTATCACAAAAGCCAAGGGAATTGGTTTGGAATTGCAAAAGAACGTATAATTACGTTTTCACAACATTAAAAAAAATGGGTTACGGAGCTCAAAGCATTCATGTGCCTTGTTCCAGATCTCACATTGTTTTATCTTTCGATCATTTTTTCTCCAAAAAAATATTTAAAAAAAATCAACACATCAAAAACAACAAATCAAAATTTAATCAATCACTAAGCTGTACAAAAACTACCCCAGAAGCGTAGTATGGCTCTACTAATCAATGCTAATAATTTAGTGTGTTTATTCGCTGATCAATTTTCTTCCCTCAGCTGGATTTCGTGTGATTTGCTTCATTCACTCTAACAACCACTGATTCGTTTTTATTCGATGTTACACGCTTCAGTTTGTGGACAAAGAATTGCTTATATTAATATGTCTTTGGCCTCCCTAGGAACAATTGAACAACTTGATGACCACTCTGAGGTCCACCCAACCTCATTTCGTCCGTTGCATCATCCCCAACGAATTGAAACAACCTGGTGTCATCGACTCCCACTTGGTTATGCATCAACTCACCTGCAACGGTGTACTTGAAGGTATCCGTATTTGCCGTAAAGGTTTCCCCAACAGGATGGTCTACCCAGACTTCAAGCTCCGGTAATTTTACTTTATTAATTACTATAATTACTTTAGCTATACTCATTATTACTTTAAAAACAAGACAAAAATTTAAACATATTTCATATTCATTGATGATGGTCTTGATAATAATTGTATTCAATATAATCATAGTTACATGATCTTGGCTCCGGCCACGATGGCAAAAGAGAAAGATCCAAAAGAAGCCGCCAGAAAATGTCTGGAGGAGATCAATCTCAATGAGGACTCGTACCGAGTCGGACACACGAAGGCAAGGGATTCTAACCCTCGTGCACAGTCATAGTCCACTCGTGTGTGTTTTGTTTTCTCTCTCAATATCACTTGTCTATTTTCCACAGCCACCTGCAACAAATGTGATGTGATCTTATGTCGCATGAGACACCCCTTTTGTTCTATAATAATTATTTACTAGTTTAGGCGGTTTTGTTCCACCCCGTTCTTATATTAATATCACCCTCCTCGTTTTTTCTTTGTGAATTTAGTTACAAGATCTTGAACCCAGCCGCCGTTGCCAAAGAAACCGACGAAAAGAAATGCGCCCAGCACATTTTGGATAACACCGGTCTTGATACCGAAAATTACCGCTTGGGTCACACCAAGGCATGTCTCAATCTAATGAACCTACTCTTATTTTCGTTTTCAATTGATTTTATCTTCGTGTTTATTTTCTCGTCTCAAATCAAGTCATCCAAACTACTTTGATGGCTTTCTGTATTGTCTACCTATTCCCAAAAAGCAAGACCCGTAACTGACTGGGTTCCAATCCTTTTCAAAACGACTTTCCAAAAATGTATTGACAAACAATACCGGAAAGTCAAGATTATACCAAAAAACGATACACCTTCATTCATTTATTACGAATACTGTAATGAATGTGACTGTTGTGTCTATTGAACTTCCTTTGTTTACATGTGTTTTGTTCATTGTGTCTTTTGTTTGTTTTATTTTCTTGTTTGATTGCACCACCACGAAAACAGATACAAAATTCTGGCCGCAAGTCAAATTAAGGATGGCATGTCACCTGAAAAGATTGCCCAAATAATCTTGGAGCACATCCAACTTGATTCCGAGCAATTCCGCATGGGTAAAACGAAGGTACTCAACCCCCCATGCTGATTTTTATATGCACTTGACTAACATCCACCCCAAAATTGCAATCGCTAAAAATTACAAAAAAAAAACGGCACTGGCTTCTTATATACATTCACCATTATCCCTTCTAGAATATCGCTTTGTTTAGTGTTGAATGTCTGTGATACTCTGGTATTAGGGTTTGATGAGAATGTTGTAGTAATACTTGTTTGTGACGATGATTAGGTCTTCTTCCGTGCTGGTGTCTTGGGTCAAATGGAAGAATTGCGTGACGACCGTCTCAGCAAGATCGTCACCTGGATGCAATCTTGGGTCAGGGGTTACCTGTCCAGGAAGGAATTCAAGAAGCTGCAAGAACAACGTTTGGCCCTCCAAGTGTGCCAAAGGAACTTGCGCAAATACCTCAAGCTCCGCACCTGGCCATGGTACAAGCTCTGGCAGAAGGTCAAGCCCCTCCTCAACGTCACCCGCGTCGAGGATGAGATCGCCGTAAGTATTTGGGACTTCTAAAAATATGCGAAAGCGATGAATGATTCGATCCAGATCCAGACCAAACTGGAAACGCGAAATTCTATCCGCGGATTTATTTATAAAACACCGCTCATCCCACCATCGCATCGCGATCACTCACCGCCGTATGGCATCATCAGCGACCCAATTTATTTACCTTTTCTAAATTCTGATCTTATTAATAAAATTCCGCAATATTAAAATATGCCTGGAGTTAGTCAGTCGGTAGTCAGTCGACGTCCAGCCGCGAAACGATCGAAACAACTTTGAAACTGCACACCATATACATTAACGTATCCGAACTTTAACCGAACAATGGACCGAATCGAAATGAAACTACAAACCGAAACTGAAGATAAACCGACCGATATTTTACAGAAATTGGAAGAGAAGGCCGCTAAGGCTACCGAAGCCCTCGAGCGCGAAACCAAAGCCAAGAAGGAACTTGAAGGACTTTACGCCAAATTGTTGGCTGAGAAGACTGACCTTTTGGGTGCTCTTGAAGGCGAGAAGGGATCCCTCTCTGAATTCCAAGAGAAGTCTGCCAAGCTCGCTGCCCAGAAGAGCGATCTTGAGTCTCAATTGCAAGTAAGTACATTTTATATTAATTCAACCCTATCCAAAAAAGAAATCTATATATCTATATAAAATTGGATATGGAGCCTCTGCAACGATGATTCATATCGATTCATCCAATATTAGATACATTTTAATGAGGACCGTTGGCTTCGTTCCAATTTTTGTTCAGAATTTGCTAATGATGTGATTTTCTTTTATCTTTACTTTGCAAATTAGGAAACCCAAGACCGTCTCAGCCAAGAGGAAGATTCCCGCAACCAACTTTTCCAACAAAAGAAGAAGTTGGAGCAAGAAATCTCTGGATTCAAGAAGGACATCGAAGACTTGGAATTGAACTTCCAAAAGTCCGAGCAAGACAAGGCCACCAAGGACCACCAAATCAGGAACTTGAACGACGAGATCGCCCACCAGGATGAACTCATCAACAAGCTCAATAAGGAGAAGAAGATGTCTGGTGAGAACAACCAGAAGGTATCCGAAGAACTTCAAGCCGCCGAAGACAAGGTCAACCACTTGAACAAGGTTAAGGCCAAGTTGGAACAGACTTTGGATGAATTGGAAGACTCTCTTGAACGCGAGAAGAAACTCCGCGGAGATGTTGAGAAGTCCAAGAGGAAGGTCGAGGGTGACCTTAAGTTGACCCAAGAAGCCGTCGCTGACTTGGAACGCAACAAGAAGGAACTCGAACAGACCATCCAACGCAAGGACAAGGAGATCTCCTCCCTGACTGCCAAGCTTGAAGATGAACAATCCGTCGTCGGCAAGCTCCAGAAGCAAATCAAGGAATTGCAAGCCCGCATCGAAGAGCTCGAGGAAGAAGTCGAGGCTGAACGCCAAGCCCGCGCTAAGGCTGAGAAGCAACGCGCCGACCTTTCCCGCGAACTCGAGGAATTGGGTGAGCGTCTCGAGGAAGCCGGTGGTGCCACCTCCGCCCAAATCGAACTCAACAAGAAGCGCGAATCCGAGCTGGCCAAGCTCCGTCGCGACTTGGAGGAATCCAACATCCAACATGAAGGTACCCTCGCCAACCTCCGCAAGAAGCACAACGATGCCGTCTCCGAGATGGGAGAACAAATCGACCAACTCAACAAGCTCAAGGCTAAGTAAGTATAACATACGGCGAAACAACGTAAATGGCCAAACTCCACAAACAAACAATTATAATAGATGACACTCATACCATTCTATTACTAAATGAACTTGAAACTTTAAGGGCTGAAAGAGATCGCGCGAGCATTTACTCTGAATTGCAAGTGACTCGCAGCTCCGTGGATTCTGTCGGTCGGGAAAAGGTACCACTTGTACTGTGTTCCTTTCATGTTTTAATTACAAACCTCGATTGCACGGCATGAACCCGAAGAGATCAATGTTCAATTTTCAATCATTTCGTCTACTGTATATTGTTATTTAACACGATGTTCAATGTTCTTATTTGTTTTCCTTAGGGCTGAAAAAGATAAGGCTCAATACTTTGGTGAACTCAACGATATGCGCGCTTCCGTCGACCATTTGGCTAACGAAAAGGTATACATGGATAAAGCATTCTATTGGCTTTGATCTACAAAACAAGCTTCTTCAAATCGCTTCTCAAAATAAATTTATATATATGTTATATATACTTTTCAGCTCTACTTAATATGTAATATGCTAAATGTTTGCCATCTCTGCAATAACTAATACCGTTTTGACTGTCGATTAATATAGTTATTAATTGTATGAGATTTATACTAATATGTTTTATAATGTATTTAGGCCTCCTGCGAAAAGATCTCCAAACAATTGCAACAACAACTCAACGACGTCCAAGGCAAACTCGACGAAACCAACCGCACTCTCAACGACTTTGATGCCGCCAAGAAGAAGCTGTCCATCGAGAACTCCGACCTTCTCCGTCAATTGGAGGAAGCCGAATCCCAGGTTAACCAACTCAGCAAGATCAAGGTATCCCTCACCACCCAATTGGAAGATACCAAGAGGTTGGCTGATGAAGAAGGCCGCGAACGCGCTACCCTTCTCGGCAAGTTCCGCAACTTGGAACACGACTTGGACAACATCCGTGAACAAGTTGAAGAGGAAGCCGAAGCTAAGGCTGACATCCAACGTCAACTCAGCAAGGCCAACGCCGAATCCCAATTGTGGCGCTCCAAGTACGAATCCGAGGGAGTCGCTCGCTCTGAGGAATTGGAAGAATCCAAGAGGAAGCTCCAAGCCCGTCTCGCCGAGGCTGAAGAGACCATCGAGTCCCTCAACCAGAAGGTTGTAGCCCTCGAGAAGACCAAGCAACGTCTTGCCACCGAAGTCGAAGATCTCCAACTCGAGGTCGACCGTGCCACCGCTATTGCCAACGCCGCCGAGAAGAAACAGAAGGCCTTCGACAAGATCATTGGCGAATGGAAGCTCAAGGTTGATGACCTTGCTGCTGAACTTGATGCCAGCCAAAAGGAATGCCGCAACTACTCCACCGAATTGTTCAGGCTTAAGGGAGCTTACGAGGAAGGCCAAGAGCAATTGGAAGCCGTCCGTCGTGAGAACAAGAACTTAGCCGATGAAGTCAAGGACTTGCTCGACCAAATTGGTGAAGGTGGCCGCAACATCCACGAAATCGAAAAGGCCAGGAAGCGTTTGGAAGCCGAGAAGGACGAACTCCAAGCCGCCCTTGAGGAAGCCGAAGCTGCTCTTGAACAAGAGGAGAACAAGGTCCTCCGCAGCCAATTGGAACTTTCCCAAGTTCGCCAAGAAATTGACCGTCGCATCCAAGAGAAGGAAGAAGAATTCGAAAACACCCGCAAGAACCACCAACGTGCCCTGGACTCCATGCAAGCCTCCCTCGAGGCCGAAGCCAAGGGTAAGGCTGAAGCTCTCCGCATGAAGAAGAAGTTGGAAGCTGACATCAACGAGCTTGAAATCGCTTTGGACCACGCTAACAAGGTAAGATTATATAATCCAATTATAGCGAACACCATTATCTAATTATATTTGTTTTCTTCTATCCAGGCTAATGCCGAGGCCCAGAAGACCATCAAGCGCTACCAACAACAACTTAAGGACACCCAGACCGCTTTGGAAGAGGAACAACGTGCCCGTGACGAAGCCCGTGAAGCCCTTGGCATCTCTGAACGTCGCGCTAACGCTCTCCAGAACGAACTTGAGGAATCTCGCACCCTTTTGGAACAAGCCGACCGTGCCCGTCGCCAAGCCGAACAAGAGTTGGGAGATGCTCACGAGCAACTCAACGACCTTTCCGCCCAAAACAGCTCCATCTCAGCTGCCAAGAGGAAACTCGAGGCTGAACTCCAAACCCTTCACTCCGATCTTGATGAGCTCCTGAACGAAGCCAAGAACTCCGAAGAGAAGGCCAAGAAGGCCATGGTTGACGCTGCCCGTCTCGCTGATGAGCTCCGCGCCGAACAAGACCACGCCCAAACCCAGGAGAAACTCCGCAAGGCCCTCGAGACCCAGATCAAGGACCTCCAAGTCCGTCTCGACGAAGCCGAGGCTAACGCTCTTAAGGGTGGCAAGAAGGCCATCGCCAAGTTGGAACAACGCGTCAGGGAACTCGAAAACGAGTTGGACGGTGAACAAAGGAGACACGCCGATGCCCAGAAGAACCTCAGGAAATCCGAGCGCCGTATCAAGGAGCTCAGCTTCCAAGCCGAGGAGGACCGCAAGAACCACGAACGCATGCAAGATCTTGTAGACAAACTCCAACAGAAGATCAAGACCTACAAGAGGCAGATCGAGGAGGCCGAAGAGATCGCCGCCCTCAATCTCGCCAAATTCCGCAAGGCCCAACAAGAACTTGAGGAAGCCGAAGAACGCGCCGACCTCGCCGAGCAGGCCATCACTAAGTTCCGTGCGAAGGGACGTGCCGGTTCCCAAGCCAGGGGTGCCAGCCCAGCGGTAAATATCCATTAATTATTACTATATTCTACTACCTGAACTTCTCTATTTCTCTATCTTTCTATCTCATTTATCTATCTATCTTTATCGATCATCCTATACTTATTTTTTTTACTTTTCTTGAATGTGAAATCATTTTAAAAGCAAATCTTTTTATAGCAACGCAAGACATTGGTGTTAGAGTAACAGCTTCCTAGTAAGTGAGAGGTTTTTACCTCTTGACCCCCAACTTGGTCTTGTGCTGTTCACACTAACCCCCATCACTATATATACTATTTCATCTACTTAATATATTTTTTTATTTGTACATCCCTCACAACGCCACTTTATGTACTTGCAAACGAGATTCAACCAAGCCAATGTATGAACTATGGATGTATTTCTCGTTTGCACTTCGCTTGCACCCTTGACTGATTTCTTGCACTATTGGGCACATGCAAAATTACAAGATCGGTCCAGTGTGCAACGATTAGTAAATTATTCGTTGGAAAATTCCCTTTTCTAATGCTGTTTTCATGTGTTTTTACAGCCAAGATCACGCCCACACATGGACGGTATGACCTTCCCACCAAGGTTCGATCTTGCCCCCGAAATGGACATGTAAACAACGAAAACCACAACAACTAGCGCTGTGTTTTTAAAATACTATTAAAACTTATTATATTTAATTAATTATTATTTTTTAATTATTATTTTAATTATTTATTTTAATTTACTTTTCTTTTTTCGTTGAACGAGGGAAAAGCGCCGCAACATCGGCACAAATATCACCTAAAAATTCATTTTTTCTTGTTCCAATGTCATCATTTTCTTTTTCTTTTGTTTTAAAAATGAACAAATTCCGACTTGCCAACTTTTCTTTTCCATGAAAAACAAACTTAAAATCCAGAATACTGGAATTTTGCACCGAGAGGACGTCGAACTCGGAGCACTACTAGGGTTTATAAGAGACACGTACACAACACCTAAGAAAAAAATCAGCCCTACTTTTGCTCTCGTCGATATCCTTTCGACCTAATCCACACAAACATAAAAAAAACTCACACAGACCAACCAAACAAACATGCAAATAAAAATACAAAGAGAAAAGAAAAATTGTGTGAAGGCCATTTCTAATTTAATCTTACTTACTAGGATTATGTTTTAGTAATATGTGTGACAAAATGTATGGCTTAAGGTTCCAATAAATGAAAAATCATATTATGTTCACTTTCCTTTTCGTTCTACGCACAACTACTGCTCTACCTTGCATGGAAATAATATCGAATATATCATTCTGATAACTGTATTTATTTATTTTGATGTTTAATTGTTAAATATTTATTGTAAAAGAAAACTATAAAATAAATATTAATTTTAAAATCTATTCACGCAACATCACTCGAACATCACAGAAAAGAAAACCCCGAATAGAACAATTGAAACACACAAAATAAGGAAAACCCTTATATGACTAAAATATGGAAACTTTAGTAGCAAATACACAAGCATAATAAATATTATCAATAAACATCAATAGTAAACTAATTGAACAACTTTAAGAAATAAAATGCAAGATAATCATCTATCAACACCTTAATCCTACAGGTTGATAAAAATCGTACTTAGTACTTAAATAGAACAGTGGCTAAAAGAATGGCGAATTAAACTCAACAAAACGAAATCGACTCATGTCACCTTTAAGATGAGGAAGAAAACATGTCCTTCAGTAACCTTAAATAAAAAAGTTTTAAAGGAGTATCATGTAAAATATTTTGGCATGCATCTGGATAGAAGACTCACATGGAAGAAACATATATAGAAAAAGAGAAAGCAACTAGGTCGGAAATTCACTAAACTATATTGGCTGCTTGGAAGAAAATTAGTGCCATCGCTCGACAACAAATTATTGATATACACATAAATACTCAAACAAGTATGGTCATATGGTATACAGTTCAGTATGCTCACTCTAACATCTAAATATTCCAGCGATTCTTATCAAAAACATTGCGCACAATCACCAAACACCCTGGTATGTCCCCAATAGTGTCATACATAGTGATTTGAATATGGAAACGGTTAAAAGTGTAATTACAAACTATAGTGAAAGGTATCAGGGAAGACTCCATTCACACCCAAATAAACTAGCGGAAAATCTGCTAATAAATCCAACGCAAACATATAGACTAAAAAAGTGCAAAATTCTAGACATCGACTTAATTAAATGACATTTTATTAATTTTCACAGATGGATACTGCTGAGTTACTCATCTTCATTACATTTGTACATTTGCTTAAAATTTTCGTGGTTGATATTTGAAAGCAAAACCTTCGAAAAAAAATACTTACACTACAATGTAAATACTTGGAGGTTAATCATTAAACATTTGATTGAAATTGCGTAAAAGATTTAAAAATACATAGAAAATATTAATTTTAATAGAGTTTGTTATTAATTATTAATTAACCCTTTCCAGAGAATGATTCCCATTGATATATACAATTGAAAATGTGGGAAGTTTTTTCATAATTTGTCTAAAAGTTATCAAACTGTTGATCTTCAGAAAATTATCAATTTTATATATCGTGGATACTTAACAATTTTATAGTTACTTTTTCTACACTGGAAAAAACATGATATTTACAAGATTCGATAGAACTAATTATAGATTTTTTTAAAATAAGATAAAAACACTGACAAAAACACAATGATTTCCCAATATAACAAGTACGTAATTCTGTATAAATTGAGTATTATTATAAGCATCTAACATTCTATTTTTAATCAATGAGGTAAGATTACTCGTATATAAAAAAAAATCAACGAACCCAAAATAGATACTTTAGCGCAACTAGCCAAGACAAATATATTTAAAAAGTATGAGTAAGAGTCATCAATTACAAGAAAAGATTTATACGAGTGATTTAATATAAATTATTACCATATAAATGAAATAGCAATAGTATTATTATTACCATAAATATGCAATATAAAGAAGAAATACCTAAAATTCACTAATAACATTGACTACAATTATAGAGCTGTGCTAATAATACTGTACAACTAATAATACTTAAAGATAAATATGATTCCCTATCGAAAGATTGTGTAAAATTTCTCACAGATAACATTACAAAATATGGATGCAATGAATATTTCAGTATTTGCTTCTCCAAATATTTTTTTATTTTTCTATGTTACCTAATTTATTTACCTGAAACCAAACAATTTGATCGGTTGAAAGCATGTGAATTTTTATTCTCTAAAAATTAAACAATTAATACAAAATAATCAGATTAAAATTTATTAAAACTTAACCGTGCATGTTAATACTGTTAGTTGGATGATACAATACAGTCTTATCACGATATAAAAATTCTATAGTATTTGCTTTGCATTTGATAGTCAAAATCTCTATCTCAAGATAGTCATAATTATAATTATTAGAAAAATAAATATTAAAGGCAAATATACCACTCAAATAAGAGCCCTTATGAGCAAATAATGAAGAAGAAATTAATTTGAATGTATGTAGAAAAGTAGATTTTTGTTCAGTTCCGAGTGATGCAAAACCAACGCGTGGAAACTACTGCTGATCAGACAGTTTTGATAAAATAATGTAACGCTTCAAGCCCAGATAGCATTATTTCGTAATACTTTTTGGAAGTATCAGATCCGACAAAATATGCTAAACGACATATTATGAAAAGTGTCAAATTTTTAATGATAATTTTGTAAAAGAAAAACTAAATCAGAAGAAATGGTTGTTTCAATATTTAAAACCCAGAACAAGTTAAAATCTGAATATTATAGCATTTTATCGTTGATATTTGAGTTTTCTAAGTTAATGTATTATATAACAAACATCAGATTATTCAGTTTAAAATATAACTTTGTTAATTTAATTTTTGGTTTAAATAATGTGTAAGATTTTGAAATGTAATATATATGAACAGACTGAATTATAATTTTCAATTGATTAAGCAACGAGTGAATATGTGAAGTTTGGTCAAAAATAAACAGAACATGCAAATAGTATTTAGCGAAACATAGGAAGGCACACTTAAAATATTGGGAGAGAGTACAGTAAAGATATTTGTTTAAGCTTGGATATTAGGATCTCGAGGCTTACAAAAATGTGAAGAGGTATGTATAAATTTAAGTGACAGTTTACAGAATCTTTCGAGGAGAGGAACTATCTTGGTTTTGGAGGACAATACCTTGCATAATCCGGTTAATTTCCCGAATTGTTTATAATCGAGAAGTTTCAAATCTTGACTAAAAAGAATCATTAATGTATAAGAAAATATTTTATCTAATCATCTGAATATCTACAAGAAAATTTAGATAAACTACAGGAATGGCTCATAAAATGGAAAATAGAAATGAAATTCTTGCATATCACATTCAAACTTAAGAAAGACACCTGCCCAACTGAAAGACTTAATGGACAAGATCTGCACAAATTAACAAAAGTCAAATGTCTATGCATCTCGGCGGAATGTCTAAGAAACATTGTTCCGTGGTTCGTCAAGAATAAACAAATACACGAAGATCTTCATATAGATATGGTCGAGGATACAATACCAACATTTAGTAGTAGATACCAAGATAGACTGATGTCACATACTAATTTCCTGGCTATTGGCCTAGTCGACAACCGTTAAAGTAATAAATAGGTTGAAGTGTTGCAAACAACTAGATTTAGTATATAGATTTAAGTAATTATTAATGTTCAATATAATGTAAACCGGGATTAAATTGAAAATAAAATTATTACGATATAAAAAATAGTATGATTTGAAATATTTGCATTATATCTGCATTTCAATTGAGTATATAATTAAAGGCTACGGTTATTAAACCTGTGGTTTGTAGAAATTTTGTTATATCTGTGATTTAGGTCATAGATATGGAATTTAGGACCGTTGGTGCAAACTAGCAAAATATTAATGTATCACAATATACAAAAGGTTAAAATTTGACACACATATTAAGTAACAAACCAAGAAAAAAATATGTGCCGGAGGAATACTGGATTTGTAACACTATCTATTCATGATTGGGACTTTTTTTTGTGTATCTGTTCCAAAATAACTATTGTACAACTATGGAATGGAATTACGACAGAACAAACAAAAAAAATTCAGTAAAAAACTTTGTATAATTTCAAAATAGTATTATATCGATGCGTAATATTTATTCAAATATTGTAAAGATTTGTAACTTTCTCTAGAAATTTAAGAAATTATCACCAAAAGTCAGGACCGGCATTTGCTGATTGGTAAAATACTATATGAAGTGAAGATCCAGAAGGAATTAATTTCAATAATAAATTGACGTATCCTGGGTTTAGAAATCTTTGGACACCGTGGATTATCTCGTAGTTATGTCGTTGTGGAGTCTTAGATGGGTTTATGAACATTAAATGCAATATTCTTAATTAGTTTTATTACACACATCAGAGTTTTTATTGAGAAGTCAACTATACAACAATTGAACTCATTGATTATTAACTAAGAGCTAAATTATCCTCTTAAATGAATAATAAGGAAGTAAGTGTTCTTCCCCGGACTTTCCAAATAAGACTATTTTGATCTTTCGACCACAAATAAGACTAAATTATATAATACAAACATGTATCCATTTCAAAAAGGGTTTACGTGGGAGTATTATTTAGGAAATCAGTTTTGCCCTTGTTGAAAATACAACCGTTTCTTTATCTAAGTAAAATATTTAAGGGCGAAAGAATGCTGTTAAGTGGTGATAAAATAGACGCAACTATACGATTTAATCTGTAACCATTCTTCGGAATATTCCAATAGATAAATAGCTAAATAATCACGAATAAGTATACATTGATATATTTGATGGATAAGTGAAATATGATATGTAACAATTCAGAGGAAAGTGGTAGATCTAAAAAATATACATCTTAATTAGACAAAATAATAGAGTCCGAGATTAATGATTTTCGATTTTCGGAAAATAGTAATTACAAAATCAAAAGAATTGCCATGTATTATCTTAGTTTTGACGATTTTTGATATCGAGTAAACATAAAAACAATACACTTTTTAAAAAAGACAAGAATAAGCAGAAATATATGTTGTGAAAAAATACTAATATAAAAATACTTAATTTATTTTGCAAAATATAAACGTTTCTCACAAGAAAGAGATTCTGAGACCGAAACGGAACAGAGCAATTTCATTAAATGGAAGTATAACTATTATATAACACTAAAATCTCTAGTAATGAGTTCTAAGAAGCTCTTAATAATGAAATAGATAAAATAAAGTTTAACATCAATGAATAGAACATATTTATCATTATATCAATAAAGAGAATAAAGTTTAAAAACAATTAAAAAGATTTTTTAAGATTAAGCACATAGATTGCAGCACAACAACTTATAAATAAAATGGTTTATCATACAATTTCATTATAATCAAAATAAAAGTTCTCAGAAATGTTTAATAGTTATTGTAAATAGATAAATAATAAAGTCAGATTAAAAAATCAGATTAAAAATGTTATTAGAGAATCAAAATAATATGTTATTATGTAAGTACTAAGGATTAGCAACAGGATTGGAATTGAGCGAGATGAAATAATTTCAATATTATCAAAATATTATTAACAAATTTTTATTAGCTTTGGGATTAAAGGGAAACCGTCTTGGTCTTTATGTCGACATAATTTAAATTTGTTTGTTAATGTTGTTTTTCTTAAATAATCTATAGAAATCAGATTTTTTTGATTGTTTCTTCGAGATTTTGTTTTTTTTATTGAATGTGTTTTGTTTGGACGTCCCTGGATTAGATGGGAGGTGGCGACGAGGAGTAAGATCGTTAATAACATTAATTTCTCCTGCAGTATATCAATTCGGAGTCAGCCTTGATAATGGTAGAGATATAGTGGACGGCTGATAGCACGATTAGCGTATTTTGCGGAAAATATGTTTCCGCTACGGTTGACAGTCCTGCTGCTCTACTCCTGCTACACGCATCTCCATCCGCATGCTATACTCGGTGCTCCGTTAACAGTGAGAGATATCAGCGATGAACTACACAAAACTACGGTAAGCAATTGCAATAATATCTAAAATTATATTGTATTATCAACGTTGATCTACTTACAATTATTGAAACTACAGTTGTTAAACTACTGACTTTTTTATAAATTTGTTTAAATGTTGTGTTTTGATATAGTCTATGGATACTCAAATTATTAGTGAATATTAAAGCACAAAAACAATATCACCAATAACCCAAAATATCCATAAACGGAATCGTGGATTATTTGAAATCGGACTAATCGAAGAATTTAAAACTGTACAAAAAGAGACAATTTTTGTAAAGATAATTTTTATTTTGCTCAATTGAAATTTAGTTTGTTTTGAACTTTTCAAACCTGAATATAGTAATTGAAGTCGCACTATGCGAGGTATTTCTGCACTAATATAACAAACAATTACAAATGGATCTACTTTAAAACATTCAACATTCATACATATATAGTTTATAGTTTTTTTGCGAATATCAGTCTACAATATCTGGTACACAACTAGGGAATCAAATCGTTTTGCTTATTCTGTTTTTTAATGTTTTATTTAGACAAAACAATTTCAAACTATTTATCGACTTTTTATTTTTACAAAATACAAATATTCGGTTTTTTTTATTATTAAATCACCTACATCTACAAGTTGATGTACTTTAAAAATTCCAATATTTATACCATGATTTTCGATTCAATTTTCTAATTGTTATAGTTATGATTATACTTTAGTTAGATCATTATCTACTAATCTAGTTATAATTGTGAATCAATAAACAAATCAAATTATTTGTAATAAATCTTTTCGATTAAAAACAAAGTTGTGTTTAATTTCTTTTAGGATTTACTTCTATATTATTTAATTAAAATTTAGTTAATTTTTAAAGCTGTATATTTTTTATTGTTAATGATTATTTTTACTGTCGTTGTAATACACCTTATATAATCATTGTTTTCTGCATTACATTACGATTAATGCCATTGTTTTTTATATGTGTTCTTATTGAGATAAACAATAATTATTGTAATGAAATAACGAAACAACTAGCACATAAGAAGGTTAATGGACCCGAATTATGTGTCCAGTGTCAAAATTACGTAAATACCGTCCAAAAAACATACTGGTCTTCACATCCTCATCAAAATTTGACATCCTAATAGCCCACTTGACATTCCTCCTTTACTATAAAACTGAAATTCTAAATTATGTATCCCTCGTAATCTAAATATTGATCCTAGATTTAAGTATGACTCATGTACCCTATTCCAATTTCTAATATTTATATTTTGTAAATTATGCTTTAGATGTTTTTCTTCTATTTATTTCTATTATTATTTCTTGTTCTGAATTATTATAATTATATTTTTTTAACTTATATTATTCATTCACAACATGCCAACATCTCTGGCTATAAGTTGAATATTTTTGGCCAAGACAGAAAAAAAAGAAAATAAAAGCATGGAGCGGAACGATTTCAAAATCGGAAATCTTCCTATAAACAATTATAAATTTAACTAAAAAGAAATAATTCGATGACAATGACAACCCAAATAAAAATTGATTTTGACGACACTATGAAACTTTAAACAATAAAACTAACTTTTATTTTCTAAAGGGGAGGTCGAGAGTGTTGTGTCTCTTTAGTCTGTGGGGGGTGTCACTATTTTCTAGGAGGGATAACGCGAGACTGTTGGGGTGGTTTTCCAGTCTGTTTTGGTAACAGGCACTGAATATGGGGATTTCACTCTTAACAGTGTTCATGTGGAGGTCTTTGTGTATCGTGTCGTTCGTCATGTACCAGGGGGCCTGCACCAGGGTTCGCAGGCACTTGGACTAGAAGCGTTGCAGGATCTCTGTGTTGGAATTGCTGGCTGTTCCCCAAAGCTGGATGCCGTACGTCTACACCGGCTTTAGTATTGTCTTATAAATTAATAGTTTGTGGTCGAGGGATAGTGGAGATCTTTTGCCGATCAACCAGTACAGTTTCGCGAACTTGATGCCGAGTTGATTCCTCTTTGTTGCGATGTGCTTCTTTTCTTCTACGTGAGACGGCGATCCAAGAACAAGCCCAAGTATTTGGCATCGTCGGCCCGCGGGATGATTTTGTTATTCAGTGTGACTGGGGGCAAATTCCCTTTTTGAGGGTGAAAGTGACATGGCTGGATTTGGTTTCGTTGACTTTAATCTACTTGACTAGCCAATTATATAAATATAGTATTTTATTGGATTCTCCGAAAAGTTAAGCAAATCTTCAGTAGATAAATTGGAACATGTCTGAATAAAGTTGATTTAGTAAAAAAACTATTGATTTATGTACATATTCAGAAAAGTGATATTTCAATCATTTTGGAAAACAAAGTTTGGTCACAATACGCATTCAGCATTCATGAACATATTATATAGGTTTGTCATAAATTAATTTAGGTAGACCGTATATCTATCTTGTATCTCGCTTTATAAATGAAACGAAATCACACCGTTTTCGAAGCAGTTAATGACGGGTGATGAAAAATTGATCATTTACAATAATGTTGAAAGAAAAAGATTCTGAGATAAACGAAATGAAGCCAGTCTTCATGCAAAGGTCTTTTATATCTGTTGTGACTGGAAACAAAATCTGCATTCTGAGCTCTTGTTAAACAATAAGACGATAAATTACTAACAACTATACGAATTAAAGACAGTGATTCAGAAAAAACGTCCAGAATTTGCTAATCTTGGGCGTTTACCACTACAATCACGTCACTTTGATTATTCGATAAAAATTGTTGAAACTCCAGATGTTATACTGTATGATTTTCATTAAATTAGGTCTTTGCAACGTTCTCTTAACAGTAAAAACTTTAACTCTTTAGTTAAGAACCACATGGAAAAGTTGGTCGCCTTTAAATTTTCGTGACAAATACGCATGAACTTTCCAAACAATAACATTTTACTGATAACATTGACATTAACATTAATTGTAAGAATATTTAATGAAATAATATATTATATATATTATATTATACATATTTCTTTAAACAAATGGACCTTAACATGTTATCAATAGTGTTTGATCCATTACGAACATAACCCAGTCAAAGAAGAAAACCAAATTATTCGTTATTTGATTATGAATTCAAGAAATGGACAAAGCTCCAAATCACCACTAATGTTACTTCAGAAAAGCTACGTTAATCAATCGGTAGGAAACTGTTCGTTATTCGAATACTTGTTTGTTGTCCGAACATAAAAATGTTTCGCGAAAGTATTCGTTATTTAATTTGTTCTTAAGTCAAAAAATAACATAATTTTCTAACGTTTAAAAAATATAATAATTTTGTTTTAATTAATAAGCTCAATTACTACTTTCTATATTAATAGTAGCATTTTTTTGTGTACGGTTTTCTTCTTTTTAAATCCAAGTTTTGTTGTTCGTTTTAGTTCATTATCATTGAAATGTGTAAATGTATTCAAAATAATATTATTAGTTATGTTTATAAGTTTAATAAACATCCAAATAATAAAATGGTTGTGTCAACCAAGTCCTCTGAATTGAAAAATAATTAAATTATTACTCGATTTTATGTTTATTTAATTTTTTTTTAGTTATTTTAACATCGAAATATAAACTATTTTTATTTAAATATTTGTATTGGACCAAAAGGCAATTGACTTTCTATCCATTTAAACTAAATTTACTTAAATTAAAAGAAATTGGAATTCATGATTTTTATATAATCGATTGATTCTTCATTTTTTATATGATATTTATAAAAAAAATATTTTGCACATTATTATTGTTATTTTTTAATTCGCTATTTATTTTAATGTATTAATAGTCTTTATAGTCTATATCAACAATTGTGGTAAAATAACCACGTCAAATACATACAAGATATTTACTCTAACTGGGTATGGTTTATAATTACAAATTATCGTGCATTTGTTGTGGTTGTTTTACTGCGCGCTTTTGTTACGGCGTCGGTATTTTGATATTTGTATTGTGCATTCAAAAAATTATATATTATTTTATCATTATATTTTGGAATCCCCAATGATTTTATTAGGAATTATTCAATGCATTCTTGCCTTGACAAGTCTTTCTAGATTATTTTCCATAACCGGTTTATGGTGTGTTATAAGTGTACAGATATTTCCTATCTATATTTGTTTATATTATAATTGAAAGTAGGCATATTACCTTCTATTCGTCTAATTATTTCCTTTTTATTGAAGTTGTGTGCAGCTGTAGTTTTCTTTCTTTGAACTACATAAATCCTATTTAAAAATGAAGTAGCAAGTTTCTTTGAACTGATAATGATACACTATAGTATGGTTCGAAAATAATTTAAGTATTAATTGAGTAAGAATAAATAATTTAGTATACAAAATTATGTTTGTATACATAAATAATCGTTTGTTTTTCTTAAATAAAAACAAATCTCATTATGTACATTTTATTTGTCTGCGGTTTAAAATACCATGATTCAAACTGTCCAGTATATTGGTGGAAACGATTACCCGCACTAAGCACAAATAGTTACTAAAAGCTGTTCGAAAGCCCAATTCTTTAAGAACAAAGATTATTAATGTAAAGTTGTATTGTCAAAACAGAGAAGTTTTTTTAATTTAAAATTTATGTTTGGAAACTGGAACGTTCCAGAATCGAGGTTTTTAGGTAAACAAGTTCCAATAAGGTATAATTTTTGACACTACGATTTTCAGATTTATGTTTAATTATTTTGAACTTTCACTACAAACGTGACGATGAAAAGATATAATGAATTCGCGGGTCTTTTCGTAATTATATTTTATTAAAACCTTTTGCTCGCACAGTTTTTATTGTTCTGATTAACTCATTTGTATGTAATTAATTAATTTAGTTGTGCCGTTGAAATTATGCAATTAACTATATTGTTACGAGTTGTACATATATTTATTATGGTGTAAATTCACTACTTTTGATATTTCCTACATATGAGATTAAGTAACATGAGAGTTGATACAGTATTTCAGCTTAGTTTTAATTATACATTAAAACTATGCAGCAATGTCTCGCATAGTGCGGTTTCAATCAGTGCGAATTCATTATAGCAGGGTTTCGCGAATTTTAGCTTAGTCATTTCGCGGAACACCAGTGTTCCGCTGCGCATAGTTTGGAAACGGTGTTTTGAATTGTCAAAACAAACTATTTTTTTACACACAAATTATTTTATATAGGTTTCAAATAGTGCGGCAGTACCGATTACTCACACTGTGCGAGTTACTTCGCATGTCGAAGGTTATACTTGAATATTTGCGCGACACTTGACAAGTTACTTGCGGCTACTAAATATTGTTTATTTTACTTAAAGTGTTGATTTTCACATGAATGTATATTTATTTGATTTGGTAACCAACGTAATATTAATTTTCACATACAAAAATTTAGTTTTATTTAATTTATGTCATTAGAAATATGTTTCACTATCATCTTCATATATTTTTTTAATTTTTTTAGAACCAAATTATCACGAAATATGGATACCCCTGTGAAACACATTACATCACCACAGAAGACGGATACATTTTGACAGTCTACCGGATCCCGAAGAGAAATCCGCAACCGGAAGGTGTGAAACCGCAGCTTCCTGTACTTTTAGTACATGGATTGTTTGGATCTTCCGCCGATTGGGTCCTTCTGGGACCAGAAAACGCTCTGAGTAAGAAAACAACAAATGTTTTTATTGTTATGTAATTTACTGTTGGCAAGTAATATTAATTGGAGAAAAACTAGACACATTGCATTTAATAACAATTTACACATTTATAATAAAACAAATGATAATGAGTTTTTAATTATAAGTGATTTATAAATGTGTAGAAAAAATATTTAAGAAAATTACACGTTTTCTTGATTTCATTTAATTTGAAGTGTAATTTAATGGCAGTACTAAAGAAATTGAAGTTTTAAAAAGTTATATATATATAAAATTATACTATATTGATCAATATGTTTTATTTTAAAAACATTACCGCATTCTGATAATAATAAAAAAAATACGATAATATAATAAAAAAAAATACAAAAAATAGATATATCGTCTAAAAAGTTATAGATTATATCAATATAGTTATATAAATAACTTGCATAGTTCAGCTTTAATCATTATTGTGCAGTTATACAATCTCGAAACAAACTGAATTTTGTTGAGTAAAATAAAAATAAATTCTTAAAAATGTGTACACATTTTTCCTTTGTATAAAGTCGAGTTTTTGTGCAATTTTTTCCTCTAAATCGGACACATCGGGTCTATTATATTTGTCCCGAATAAGCGACTGGCCCAATTATCGAAAGTTCCATTTGTTATTTGCTCGGTTTTGTATCCGTTCTTCAGGATTTGTCTCTAATAAGCAGCCGATTAACCCAATTAAGCGGAATCGTCTGTATATAGTCCTCGATTAGTCCGGTTTCAAACAGTCCGAGATATTGATGAAACATAGTTTCACCGTGTTTTCACCAAATAAATAAAATTTGTTCTAATATGCATTCTTAGCATCGCACAATTATCTGATTTTCATTTAAAACAACTGATTTGCAAAAAGGGCGAAACTAATTAATATGTGTAACATTACGTCACGTCAATTCATAAATCATTTATATAATGTTTTTTTTTAAGAAAATAGCGAAAAATAAAATACGATATCGACAACTTCATGGTGTACATTGTTACCACTCTTCACACCACTGTTGCGCTCAAACAATGACCTTGATTTTAAAATTAATCAAGAAATATATTTATAACAAAAATATATTTAAAGTAAGGCGTTTTTCAAATTTAGAAGTTTTATATTAAATTTTATACAATTATTTATTTATTTATATATTTTTATTGGTCTTAAATTTGATGAAAATGAAACATGTTGTTGTTTAACTACTAATTGATATAGTTTTCATAAAATGTAATTATTAGAATCTGAAATATATGTGGGATTTTCAGGATTTAAGTGGGGCGTTAAAAAAGTGGAAGTTATAAACAATACGCAAATTATATCATTAACATTAGTTGACTATTAATAATATATATTAATATAAAAAATGGTATTTTATCAATTTGCAAAAGTTGTTTAATTTTTTCATTAATTCAGATGAAGAAATTAAACAACTTTTGCAAATTGATAAAATAGAAAACAAATAATAACATTTATTGCAACACATTTGTATACTATAAAGTCAACAAAATGACATAATAAGAAAATTAAAACCAAATTGATCTGTTATATGTTTGTAATATTATAAAAATGTTATCAAGAATATTTCTCTCTAATTTATTAAATGTATTTTGGACACATTTAATCACTTCATCAATTGTGTTTGGCGAAGTTTCATGATTGAATAGAACATATGTCAAATATGTAGCTATCAATGTAAACAATACCAATATAATGAGTATTGCTGTTGCTTTCGAAATTTTTTTCTCCAATGTATACCATATTTTCGTATAGTGGGAGTAATTATTATGAATATAAGAAAATATTGAAAAAATAAGGGTAATTATATACATTCATGCATTTATATGAATATAAACATACACAAAACATTTCTAAGATAAGATATCCCGAATAGATTTTCGTAGTTTTGTTTTGTTTACATTTAATTCCATAGTATTTTAGTCTTTAAATGTACGAAATTATATTTGTTGATGTGTTTGGTGTATCTCTATGATCATACAAATTGCAGTCTTTACTTCTCCTTTTATAATATGTCATTTGGCATATTCATTAGTATCTACTAGTTTCCAAAAATTTTACGAACTTGTATTTTTCCGGGTTTGAAATCTTTTGAATCTTCTTCTATAATGAAAGAATCAATCCGATCAGCATCAGTTTCGATGCGTTGGTCTTTTAAATCACTGGGAACTTGTTCTCGGAATTCAATAAAAATCTCTTTTTCTATCATTATTCGTAATCATTTCTTCTTCGGAATTTGTATATAAGAACACTCTTCGTTAAATGTACTTAAACATTAAAGTAATAAAGAAAACGATTGAAACTCTTTAATCAATTTCTAGAGTCAAAGTTAAACACATTATCTCTTTAAATGCTAAAAAAAACTGTTGTATTTTGGATTTTATAGACATTAAATTATTAAAATGTTGTAGTGAAATCACTAATTAATTTCCTCGTTGCAGTATATATAGTTTTTAAGGACTTTCGAACTGAAACTTTATTACGAAAGACGGTAGATGAAGGAAGTTCTTACGGTGACCTTTTTTCCTCACCACCTTCCAAGAAACAATAAGTCAGAAGTGTAAATTGAGTAATTTTATAATTATTTTTGTATAATTATACTTAAAACAGAAGAGAAAAGAGTTATAAAATAAATAAATTATATAAGTATACATAACCCCCCCGATGTTGGTAGTAAATAAATAAACGCGCGTGTTTTACACTGTATTTACCACTTATTTGTATTGTATAATATGTATACATTTCGTCCACGTTCACCTGCCTCGACGGACGGAAGTAAGAAATTTTACACATGGATTGTAATTAACCTTGCGTGTAATTCGCGATTTTGTGCGGCCCGTTTCCAATTTGGACCGGATTAAAGGTAAACAGTTTGTAATTCGGTTGGGATTGCCGTCATTACGCTTCGAATTAAGTTTGCAAAGTAAACAGAGTAAACTTAACGACAACAATAATTTGTAAGTCAGGCAAAGGTGAATTAACGGTGAAACACGCGCATTAATGTTGCGTGTCGTTTCCCGAGTATTTTATTCATTCCTCCGAACTTTGTCCACATTTACTTATTTCATTTTTATTTGTTATTTAAAAAAAAATTCTTATTCGGAGTTCATCAAAAATAAAATGACTTTGTTTTTGTTTAACTAATTGAATGATATCATTTTTTTATTAAAAGTTTCTTTCTTATTAATATAGTCAACTTATGATAGTGATCCAAACAAGGTACATTCTCATTAGGTCATAAGTTCTAACTAATTTAGATTCTACGACAAGAATGATATGAAAACCAAATGATTTTAAATGTTTTTTATATAAGCATTCAGTGTTTGTATGTATAATTTGGTCATTGGATCTTAAATACTTAAATAATAACGTAAAAAATAGTATACTTGTATAGAATTGAGAATATGTGGTATAAAAAACACTTTGGTGTATAAAATGTAATTACTTCGATTTTAAATAAGTGACCGGATACTCAGTGTTCATGGAAAATTAAACTTCGAGACGCTCAAATACTTGCAACAATTGTTTTCATGGAATTAACGCATCACAGCACGACACAACAAAAAGGTCGGTAACCATGAATGATGTCTGTTATATAACAAATGCAGTAGATATTTTAAGCTGGCCAGAAAGACTACGGTCAAAATCCTTTATTATTTTAACTACAAATCTAAATGTTATATGAAATGTTTATTATTTATATATGTTATATATAAAAGAAAACTGTATGTTTAGGTTTGTAATTTTTGTAATTATTTTATATCCATAATATATTTATAGAAAATAACAATGTTATTTATTTGACCTTGAAGCTATATATATATACATTTTATATTATATAGAGAATTTAATAATAAACTAATGGTTTTTTATGGTGTTAATAGGTTCAGAAACATTACAACTATTTCCTTTTTAAAAGTATTATTAGTTTAATTATAATTTCTAATTATTAGTAATACTTACTTTCAAGAATAACTGTTATTTTAATTACCAATTATCATTAGTTGTTTGGCTAATTGACTCTATTTTATTAACAAAGAGAACTATATTCAAATATCTATGACGAGTATATACCTATCCCTTTGTTTTACACTGTACTTTCTTTACACGTTTTTGCTACCGTGTTAATCGGGGGATAGGTGTAGTTTATTCATTTAATATTAAAATATGAATATTTTTGGCAATAAGACCTTCAAATCCAACGCTTGTCAGTAGCAGATTGAAAAGCAATTGAGAAATTGCGTCTCCTAATACTCGTATAGGTTATCTTACTATTGTTTACTTTTTTAACAAGCAATATCTTAAAAATGGCTCTTTCCTTTATAAGAGTTGCGGATCCTTGGTATAGGCAAACTGTGATCAAATGCGGCTCTGAGAGCCGCATGCAACTACTTAGTTGAGTCAAGTGCGGTTCCCATGAAAGTTTTAGTTTTATTTTTTCCTAATTTTACGCCAAATTAAAAAAAATACCAAAGATTATCGTTAGATGTTTTTATAATTTTTATTAATAAATATATTTTTATTATATTTGAGTTGAATATAGAATACCCCTTTTTTTACTCTCGTTTCCCTTTAAAGCGCACAAAACTTTCGCTTTTTACTACTAAAACTTTTCATCTTTTTATGAAAACTCTGAAAACTAAGTTTTCTTTAAAAAAGTAATATCTTGTCCCATTCATAAATTCGTTTTTAATATTTATACAATTTGTACAATGTTATTCTCAAATATTTCAGGTTTCCTATTGTCTGATAACAATTATGATGTGTGGCTGATAAACTGTCGTGGTACACGATATTCGATGAACCACACGACCCTAGATCCAGAAAGTAAACCAACAATGAGACGTTTCTGGAACTACTCTTGGCATGAGATCGGCGTTTACGATATACCTGCGACCATCGACTACATCCTACCTCTGACCCAATCCAAGCAGATCATCCACGTAGGTCACTCTCAAGGCGCCACCTCTTTTGCAGTGATGATGTCCGAAAAGCCGGAGTACAACGAAAAGGTTATAGTACACATCGCCTACGCTCCGGCCATCTTTCTATGTAACATCAGGAATCCACTGCTTAAATTACCTGCGCTTTCTGAGCGCACCAGATTGGTATAAATATATTAAGATATTCTGAATGGAAACAACATTAATCTATTATTTGCAGTACACTAAGTTACGAGCCTTATTGGGGGATTTCAACGCCGGACCGCAGTTATACCTCTTGGCCGAGATAGGAAAGATCATTTGCCAAGTCGGTTCGAGCCTCCACGCAGTGTGTAAAAATATCGTTTCGTCCCTGTTCGACATGTCTATGGGTCAAATTTTACCAAATTTGCTGCCCATTTTGTTGGGACATTATCCAGCCGGGGCCTCCACCAAACAGTTGGTGCATTACAGCCAAAGCATTATACACTGTAAGCAAACAATCATAAACATATACAAAAATAAATGTGTTTATCATTTTAGGTGACTTCAGGAAGTATCAGGAAGGGCCGGAATCGTCATCCAAGTACAATCTGAGCCACATACGTGTGCCGATTTATGCGTACTCAGGAAATCTTGACACAATTCAGGTTACCAAAGATACCGTTAAATATGGTAAAAAGCTGATTGGAGGCTTCAGAAAATTATATGTGATACGAAATTTCGCGCATAGCGATTTCGTCTTCGGCAAAGATGCCAAGAGACTCGTTTATAACAGCACCATAAATATTCTCAACTCACTGTGATACTATTAATATTTAATATGCATAATTTTATAGCTTTCATTATAATATTTATAGTAGACTCTCTATGTAGAGATAGATTGGATTGACACATTAATCTTCTATAGAAAATTGATCTGATCGAAAATAGAATAACAACAAAAGGACTAAGTACGTTTGTCGGCTAATTTAAAACCAAAAACATTACATTCGCTAATTGACATACATTTCAAGTTTCAGTTACCTATTTTACGTAATTTTGTTTGAAAACCAATGCATTTTGATACAGTATTTGGGAACCTTAACTTAAACTTTCAATATTATTAGTATGTGTTAGATTGTTAGAATTATTTTGTTTAGTACCAGAGGGTGCAGGTCCTCTATCCGATTCCTATTCAAGTCATATGTTAATTTGAACTTCCTAAGTTTTTGTACATTCTATAGAACTGTAATTGTTAACTATTATAGAATATTTTCTAATGCTATATATTGTTGATTTAAGCTTCAATTAATAAAATCAAACTAGGCAACTCATTACACGTATCGAACGTATAAGATTGCAGAATAAGTTACAATACAGGAATTTGTAGTTATTTCGTATGAGATGCAGATGTTATGTAATCTCTGTTACAGATTTCTATATTAGTAAATGAAAGAAAACTACAGATGGCGCAACGATCAAAGTTTTGCTACAGATATGTAAACGCACGCTACTTCCAATTATTAATGAAAATGCTCAATATGTCTATTACTGATCAAAATAAATGAGAAAAATGGAATCTATATTTTTTTTATAGAATATAACTTATTAAGAATTACACTCTCAATTAACTATGTTCCAGTTGTCTATAAAATATTAATACTTAGTTTTCTATAATACTTAAGAAAGTAATGAAATTAAAATTGTCGTAAATGTTAATAATAATTTTTGAATTGTTTAAGAGATTTTCTTTATTTATTTTAACAGAAAATGTGTCTTCTGAAAGAAAATTCATAATCTTTTTTATTAATAGTAAACATCTTGTATAATAATTCTAAAAACTGTAAATAATTGTTTACATTTTCTTTTGTTTGACATAATTTGTAAGCTACTCAATCAACTAAATTAATTTACGCAAATTTTAACAAATTTATAATAATAGTTTTATATAAATAATAAATTTTGATGCATTTATTACTTTTATTATTTATTAATCACCATATTTTATTTAGTTTAGTTTATTGAAACATTCTCAGGACTTCAATTACAATTCAATTTAAACAAATAATGTAATTGACTATTTACCATAGGACTTTTCGCCTAATTTTATAACTTGTGATGGACTATCTTTTTGTTGTATTATAAAGATTATCACAATAACAACAATTCTTGATTATTTTGTAAAACAAATCTAATCATAAAAATAACCAGTTTATAAACATATACATTGTAAATGTTTGACAAATTTTAGAAAATACAAAAAAACCTTATGATTTAGGATGCATTTTTATGTCTCTATATAAAAAGTTGTATTTTAAGATGCAAAAAATATGGTATATATAGTTATAGAATTGTAAGAATTTGAATATACTAAAAAATATGGAATTCTTAACAGAAAAAATAGAAAATTATAGATGAGAATATAAAAGAAAACAAAATTAGTTATTTTATATTAAAATATTTGGTAATAATCTTTATTATGGCAGTAAAAAGAAACAAAATTAAACATTTTTATACATAAGAATGTAATAATAATAAAATAAAAAACATTAACATTTTACCCTAATGTGTTTATATTTTTTTTTTGTTGTTGTAATATAACTGTTGTAGTAAATATTGTTATTATATTAAGTTGTAACGAGTTTTGGGTAAATCTGTAAGGTTTAGGGGGGATACATGATTTGCATTTGATGAGGTACAAGAGGAAAGTGAATAGTCTGCTGTTCTGCATCGCTGGGCGTGAAGATCGCACGTGCGGGATGGACGTGAAAGTTACGTGGGTAGCGGTCAAGGGTGTTCTAGGGCCGATGGTCAGGTGGTGGTGGAGATGCATCGATCCTCTTCCATCCTTTCCCCATGGAAGTACCCTTTCTTTGTGTTTGTGTGTTCTCGTCGCAGGGGATGGCGTGTGCCCGGGTAGTTTAGCAGTCCAGACGTCGTAATTGTTGCCGGATAATTCGTAACCTGCGGCAACAAGAATTTACGGCGATTTGCAGCAACATTGCGCCGGACTGGGCCACCTATGAAATCGCCACTTAACCTCTGAATTTATTCAAGAAGAAAATTTATTTTTCTATTTTTTTTTCTTCGCTTTTCGTTCCCTGCCATTATAATAATAGCGGCGTGCTATCGAAAATTGCACGCTTAACGCAACGCCCAAGAATAGAACAACAAAAACAACGGCACAAAGGAAACAAGAGAGAGAGAGAGAGAGAAAGATAAAATGCAAGGAAAAACGTTATAAAATTCTCGTAAATTGCTGTCGTGAACATACGAATTACCGAATCCGATTTGATCCCATCATCCTTCGCATTTCTCATTTCCATTCAACCACTTTCAACCATACTTTATGGCCTTTGTTAAGATGATCATCGATTGCCTTAATTACACAGAACACTGGTGTTCAAAGTTTGTCGAATACTTAAGGTTATAATGATACCACAGATCTCCAATAATTCAGTTTGCAAACACAAATCTAAAATACAAACATATCGTCGACAGATGAGAATTCCACTTACTTCATCAATTGTCTATTATATTATTCTGTTATGATTGTTGTTATGATTATATTCTTTAAGTTTGTATGTATTGTCTTTGTCTTTATATAGGATTTTGTGTATTATTTATTAATATTGTTACAGAGATTTATATAAGCAATCTGATCGGTTTTCGAACATTATTTAGGAACAAATTCTAATTATAATTTGCATTAGGATTTTTACTGCCTTTTTATAAATTTCGAGAAATCATGTGAAAGCAATGTTCTTTATTAGCAAATAAAATGATTGAATGAATTTCTGAAATATCTGTCTATTTTTTACTTAAATTTAGTGAATTTTCCATTATTTTTTCTAAACGTTTTAGATTGTTCCATTTTTAAATATTTATTAGAATAAAATTAGTACGAATTGTTAACTTTTTGCTAAATTTCTTTCGAACATCTATAGTTACAGAAAATCCCTGAATTCTGCAGAACACTGTTTGAAAATCAATGATCTAGATTCTAGAAAAATGTTATGAAATAATGTTATGCAATACATGTCTTTTGCGATGCAACAATATCGCTTTACATATTAATTGGTAGAGCGATGCAATCTTGCAAACTCTTACACGGTGTTAAGAATTGCAATGAAGAAGGAAACGTATGCCGACCGCAGCGAAGAAACTGCGCCAAATGAAGCTGACTGGAATTCTAATTGGCATTCATAAACACCGAGGTAAATTGCGAATATGCAAATTGAATATACTTTTATTTTATTTTGAAGTTAAAGCTGTGAAATGTTATCAATTTGCTACTATTTCATAAAGGTTTAAAGGATGGAATATGAATGCATCGATGAGCGTGTAGCGTGATCGTCATGGAAGAATGTATTTGAGTCGTAAGGTTGTTTTGTGTTTTTATTCTTGGATTAAATCATGTTTTCCTTTGCAGATGTTGCATTGTGACGGGTGGATTGACATCGCGTGAGGCTAACGATTTATTATCATAAATACCTCTGGTTTCTCAAGAATTTTACGCCTTCAATTTCAGAATTTCATCATGTAAAATGGATGATTATTATTTGCATTTGATTTTTCTTAGTTTTTTTTTAATAAGGGTGTTTCACTGTGGATGTCAGTAAATAAGTATTTAGGTATTCTCTTATGGCTATTTAAAACCTATAATAAAACATTGATGATCATTGAAAGTATTGAACTTTTATGAAAGTACAGACAAATATACAATTATTTTTTATTCATGGATAAGATTTATAACAGTATTATTGAGAAAAAAATGATACAAATACTGAAATTAAGAAAACAAACCACAGGAAGAAAAAATCTAAGACTAAAACCTAAAAGATAATTATAATGGCATAATTATGGCGTAAGTCAATTCCATAAAGTTTCTGAATTAAACATAAATTTACCATTTACCAAGTATAAAATTTTTTCTTATTTTAAAATATAAGATTTGATTGTATAGATAACTCTGGAATATGTTACGTATTGTGAAATTCTGTAAATATTCGCAATGATCACCATTAAAACAATAAAGTTATTACAGTAATCCGAGAATATGGAACTTCCTGCACGTCGTATGTGTACGAGCAACAATATGCAGACAATAATCGTTCCGAGTTAGAGAAGCAATAAAAAAGGGGCAATTCCGTTTCGGACATAAAAGTGGGGTAATGTGCATAATTCATACGTTAGCGGAATTATAAGTTATATAACGCGGCACTATATTTTTTTTTGTCGTCCTTCTCCCGCTGCGCTCCCCATTTCCTCGATTTATATCAAACATGCAAATTGGCGGTCGAGCGTGTGCCAGCATTTATATTTTCCTTTCTTTTTTCTTCTCTTCTTCGACCTTTAAGGAGAGAAAGGTAGCAAGGGGTCATGAAAGGATACTGTAGTTACTACCCGTGTCGGAATGGCAGGAATATACCGACTACCGCCATCGATTTGCGGCCTGAGGCGAGACTCAATATCAAACCTGGGCTTAATGGTTTTCCAATAATTAAATTCGGATACCGGACTTCCAGCGCCAGGTACAAGGAACGGTGGTAGCTGAGGGAGTCTGAAAAAGGGTGAGAAGGATGAGCGAAGGGTGGAGTTTGGGAGTTTTTAATCTGGAAGAGCTAAAGAAATGGATGGATTTCTCTCTCGGCCTTTAAAGGTTTTGCTTGACTTTGTTTGGAGGGGCGAGGGCGATGGACGAGAGGATTGTTGTGCGGCGCACGTAATTAAAGGCGGTTTATGCAAACTGCTGCAGCTCCCATCCCCATCATATGAATCATCCCTTAAGGCTTAATCCAGTTTGCTATTTCCAAAACGTCTT